GAAAAATCGAACTTGCTTTGGTAATTGCAAGGAAAATTACCCTATTTTCTTAATGATTCTTGATAATGCAACACTTTATTAACCGATNGTTTTGTTTTTGAAAATAGCATTGTTGATTCTCAATGATTCTGAATTAGAGATGCAAAATGACAGTCATGTGACAGACCAAAAAATGACGCTCATGTGACGCACGAATTTCGTGACCACAAATGATCGCCACAAATAATTTGTAAGCAAATTGTTGTCAAACCATCTATATGGATACATAATGACGGTCAAACTCATTTCTAATTTGTGACTGTCATAAATAACATAGCTTCATCTCTAGATAGATGGAAAATGACCGTAATTTTGATTTAAAAATGCACATTAGGCTAATGCAAAATAAATTCAAAGAAAAATTGATAATAAAACAATGAGCTCGCATCTGTATAGATAAAAAATGACTGTCATTTTTTCTTGACCAATTGTGACGGTCATAGAAGGGTGGAGAAATTGTGACAGTTGTGGAAAACGTCTCGTCATATGACCGTTAATGACAGGTCATGTAATGTATTCGCAGCTCTATCTGCATCTTATTTTTAAAAAAACCGAATTCTCAACTCTGTGGAAAAGTGGAGTGGAAATTGAAAGGCAATTGATGATCAAAAATTCAATTTCCAAAATGCAAATCTGAAAATAAATTGAGAGATAATTGAGAATCAAAAATCCCATTGTCAAAAAAAAAATCCAGTTCTCAACTCTCAGAAAAACTAGAGATTAGTTTGCGAGATTATTCAGAATCAATAATCCAATTTTCAACTCTAAAAAAAAGTTGAGAGTAGATTGAGAGATTATTGAGAATCAAAAATTCAACTCTCAACTTGCGAATTGAGAGTAAGATTTTTTGTTTTTGAAAATCGGATTTTTGATTAGAGAATCGGCGAATTTTCTTAAAAATTTTCTATATTGGACCTTTTCCCGAAATTTAGCGCAAACACGGTGAGTTTCACTTGTATTGTTGTTTTTGTCAATTATCATTATTATTATTATTATTATTATTATTATTATTATTATTATTATTATTAGTGTTATTATTATTGTTATGGCTGTAGGAAAGTGCAATACAGTGTGTTGCTCCATTTCCACGAGTGGAAGTGAGATGCAGGAATGCTTGGTACCCGTGGGCCCTCATTGGATTACACTCCTGAGCTATCCGCTCGACAATTCTCATTTCCATACGCCGAATTTCGGGGGTTTCAGTGGCGCCATCTGGCACATTTTCCTATAACTTGTGACGGCACTAACCCATGTGAACCTCAAAACTTAAAATATAAACCGTAGACTTATCCATAACTCGATGCGAAACTCAAAACAGCCGGAGTGTTGTCACCTTCGGCCTCTGCTCCTCGATGTCCCCACGAAAATCCTCGAAAACCGAATAAACGAAATAAACGGGAAAACGAGAAAAATGTTGTCGGGCGCCAGCTAACCTTTGTTCCAGCGGTGTCAACGAACCGCATTAAAAAGAACCATACGAAAACTTAGCCATAATTGGTGAGATCAAGGGAGAGGTTTCGGAATTAGCTCGACTAGCTCGGTGGTATTCGGAAAGCGGGGTAGGATCGGTCGCTCGGTCTTAGGAAGGATGTCGCGAATTTACCAAAAGATACAGAAAAATCGAAAGGAAGAATCAGAAAGTTAATTAAATAGGGGATGAGAGAATTACTTTTAAATTTACTCCGTGATTTATTCAATTTCTCAATAATACTTCAACTTTAATAGAATTTCTGTTCTTCATAAATAAAATAAATTAATTTCAATTAAATTTAACAAAATTAAATTCGATTAAATTCCCGAGTGAGAGTACGTGAATTGACCTTGAGAGAGAGGTTATCGCGAAGGGAATGGGGGGTCCGAAGAGTCCAGGCCAACGATCTCTCCGCATCGTCCAGAAACTGGAGTGCTGGAGGATCCGAAGGCTATATCAATTCCGATGCGATGATCTCGGCGAATCTCCTCAGAATAATAAATGACGATTAATGGGCGAGGGACTCAAGTATGCAAATGTCACTTAAGAGTACCATTTTGCCCCATATTCGAGTCCGTCCTCCATCAAGAGCGTCGTAGCGTCACAGGGAAATTCCTGGGGCTCGCGCGCTTCAATGTCATGATTTTCGGGGTCTCGTCTTCCAAGAAATTTTAAATTAATCCATTGAAACCTTGGGGGAACTTTACTGAGCTAGAAGAGCACTCATTTGAGGCTTCAATTCGCTCTGGAAAGAGGAAAAACCGCCATGTGCACGACAGCGTCACCCACGGCACGTGAGGCGCATGTGTGCACTTGTGGGCCTGTTTTATCCACTTTTTCCCACTAAAAATTGGCACTGGACATTCCCCATGCGTTCTCGAGAGTCCTAGTGAACTAATTATGCACTCAGAAGGTGCATTAATTGTTCACAAGACCTCCTGGTGAGTGGAGAAGGCACAATGGCGCCATGGCAGGGCATGGGCCATGTGCGGCCTTTTATTGGGTCTCACTGTCCATTTTCACTATCTCTTGGGTTTCACTGGGGTTTTATCACTCGGGAGAGGTCTGGAGAGCTGAACGAGGGTTTTATGCACTCAGTGGTGCATTTATCCACCCGCTCGCAGGAGTTTTGGAGGTTGGGAATGCATCACGGCGTCACTCTTGTGAACGCCGGTGCACTTTTCATCACTCCCTCGATCGTTGACGATATTCTCGGGGATGTTGTCGCAGTGGTTGGTCGGGTCCAACTCTCTCGTAAACTGCGTCTAACCGGTGGAGGTTCTCAGCTGGGTGGCGCGACTGGCACGCCGTCTAGCTGCCGCTGGGGCAGGCTCATATAACCGAGCACGCGGGGATTTTGATTCAAATGGGTTTTAGACTTATTTTAGGCATTCCGCCGTTAATTATATCTTTTATGAATTAACCCAAGGGGTTTTATCCATAGTGGCTGAACGATAGTTATCTGGAGGTTCGGAAAGGGGGAATTAAGGCAGTTGTTCGCCTTTTCTCCTCGCGAATGCACTTCACCCCTGAGTGAGTGCACTTTTCGCTGCTGTCACTCTCCCGGGAGTCATCCTGGAGTCACCGTGAACAAATCTAAAGAGAGAATAGCCCATGGCGATCCATGCAGACGAGTGGGCTATGTTCATCCACATGGCCTTCCAGCTGCACTGGTGATTCCAGCGACTCCAGGAAGTGCCTTAGCTAGGGAGCGTGAGTATTTCACCTCAACCTCTATGATCAGCAGCCGCACTCAACGAGATCAGCGAGATCTCACCGGGAAGCTCGGTGTATCGGCTCTGAACCGCGATGGATCGTCGTCCCTCTCAGGATTCGCGAAATTTCAAAATACAAAAACATAACTAGGAAAATACAATTACTGTAAATTTTCCCTCAACCATAAAACCGAAAATTTATCCCCTAAAATCCGAAGTAAACCAGAAAGATAACTGAAACTAAAAGAGAACAAAAACTTTAATATTACTTGAACCGGAGATTTTACTTTTTACTCGTTTTTAATGTGTTTCGACACGTGAATTTGATTATTTATAGAAATCGAACGTTGTTTTCCCCGCGAGGTCCTTCCTGATTTTCTTGGAGACCGATTTCTACGAGCTGGAGCTAAAAGCTGTGTTGCATCGCCCTTCGGTAGGTGTGCTAACTTTGGGGTTAAGGAAATCGCGACTCTCTCTCCGAAAAGATCAAAATAAGTTCACACTTACCTACTCACTCTTACGATTTACTTAATTCTACGACGAAGTTGTATACAGGTGGCGGAATTCTCGAAAATTCCGTCACAAACTGAGCGAGACAGTATGGCGACAGCTGATCGCCTCAATTCCGATTCCACTGATTGTGGGAGTTAGCGGCGTCTAATCCCTCCGAAACAACTCCCAAAAAATAGTCAAAAGTAGTTCTTTTAACGAGAATTAGTTCGCGAGAGTGTCTAGTCNTTTATTTTCTAGTCAATATTAAAAATATAAAAACTTATTTCCCCCCTTTAAGGCACCATTTCCGTTAAGAGGCAATAAATTATCTGTTTTTTCAAAAAAAAATCAGATTTTTTTATGTAACCATACGGTCGTAATTAGTGGAATCGGAAAATGTTTTTTTTTTACAATTTTCTGAGGAATTTTCTAGGGACATGTCGGGGAAAAATCCATCCAACCGGGCCTTAAATAGAAAAACTTAGCGATTCCGTTAGACAATTCTATTGGTTTTCTGTAGAAATTCCATTAGTTTTTGGCCGTTTCTTTTAAAATGTTCAATTGAAAATATCCTATAGAAAGTCAATATGATTCGATTTTTCTATACAACTTATTCTATTGAAATATTTTCTATTGAAATTTCTTCGGCTCAAATTTTCCAAGTTTTTTTATTTGATTTTCTTGAAAGGAAGAAAAGAAAAATTGAATGAAGAAAACTTCAATTAAGAAATTTCGAGAAAATTCAATAGAAAATATTTCAATAGAATAAGTTGTGTAGAAAAATCGAATTCTATTGAATTTTTCTATCCAATATTTCTACAAACGGGATCATAAAGGGTGGGTGGGATTGGCAATTTTCCTGGCTTCATTATGAATTCTGATTTGAGGTTCTCACTATTGAAGTTCTTGAGAGGATCTAAATTCTATGGACATTTTGGGGAATCGAATTAAACTTCTTGACATTTTTTTTTTAATTCTGAGGGCAAGGGGTGGGGGTTGATCATGTCAGGGAATCCATACGGGAGTTCCTGATTCAGAAAGAAGCTGGTGATGTGTCGGAGCATTCTTTATCGAGATAATCAGCGAAACCGAATCTTGGACAGAAATGTGATTTTGTGGGGTTTTTCGTGGAATCTTGTGGCAAAACGGGTTCATAAAGGGTGGGTGGGGTTAGAGATTTTCCTAGCTTCATTATGAATTCTGATTTGAGGTTTTGACTATTGTAGTTCTCAAGATAATCGAAATTCTACGGCCGTTTTGGGGAATTGAGTTAGACATTTGAAATTTCCAGAAAATTTTATTTAATATTTTTCTGACCCACTTAGCCCAGATCATTCATTTTGGTAGTTCATTCAATTCACCCCTGAATTTTGTGAAAATGCTTAGTCTGTCAGATGTTTCGCCCGATATCTGCAACAAAAATTTGCAAAGATCAATATCTTTCTCTGCAAATGGAAGAAACTTGCAGAATTCATTTAATTACAGATAAAAGCCTTTGTCAGTTACTTTACACTCTAACAAAAATAAACAAACTGTTCAATAGCCAAAGTGGTTTGGGAAATACTATAAAAAGAAAATAGAAAGTGTTTCTGATAGAATCTGTCTAAATTAAAAGTTTCAAATATTATTATTCTTTTATTCTCACGTTCAATCAATAAAAAAAAATTGAGGAAAGTTTTCTAAAGAAAATTTTGCCAGCAGATTTTGTTTCTAATAAAATGATTTTAGGAATTGATGTGAAAAGACCTGTTATGTAGTTGATAAAATATTCATAAGAAATCTTTCTCTTTTCACTTTGCCCTTTAAAATCATTCGTTACTAAAATAATTGAAGACTTGCCAAGACGAATACCTTGATTTCTCTTAGCTATAAGCACCATGAAGGTGAATATCATAAATATATTCAGGTGAATTATTCAATTCTTTCTCGCATCCAATGGCTTCTGATTATTTAGTTTGTTTGTTGATTCAATTCACTATAGAGCATCTGATCGAAATTGTCAGTTTCTTCTCGATGTTTCGCTCCCATATGTGCAATGTAAATTGACAAGAATGGATATTTTAAGAATTCTGCNAATATTTTAAGAATTCTGCTTAAAAAAAACGTTATCAGTTACTTTACATTCAAATGAAATAAACAAACCCTTTAACAAAAAAAAAATCGTTCAGAAAATTTCATGAACAGCAAATAGAAGTTATTTCTGATAGTCTGTCTGAATCAAAAGTTTCAAATATTATTATCTTTTTATTTTCATATTGCATCAATAACAAAATTGAGAAAAGTTTTCATTCAACAATGATATTGTCAATAGATTATGGAATGCGTAATTTTCGGAGTTTATGTTAAGAGACTTCTGTATAGTTGAGAAAATCTATGGCAATCTGTCTTTTGACAATTTCCCTCTCCAGAATAACTCATTCTCAAAATGATTGAATATTTACCGAGACGAAGAAAATACAAAATACTCCAATACTTGCCAATTCATCAGCACCGTCAGTGATAATTAAATACATATATTTTTCTAAATTATGCAATTTTTTTCCTAAACCCACTGTGCTCCGGATATTTACTTTGTTTTTGTTATTGTGGAGGTTTGAGTTGCCGTTGCCGGCATTGAAAATCCGTCCAAATTCCCCCACTCTACCCAATCACTGGAGCACGAACTAAAACCATCGAGGTACGAACCGCTCGTTCGTTTCGGTCAGGGTTGGGCAGTATAATACCCAAAGAGGATTGACTAAAGTAGAGGCTCAGATCTCGGGGTTGGACTGACCCCAAGCCAAAAGTAGTTCGACCCCAACGGAGGGATGCCGCCACGGTCGAATCTGACGGCTGGGCGAACTGCCTGTGCGGGTAACTCGGTAGTAGCAGTCCCGCTGTCACAGGGATAGTTTCGGAGCGTAATTTATGCTCTCTTCGTCCTCAACATGTTCTTAATATTTTGCAGGTGATTCATTTGCTGGCTAATTAATATTAAGGAATGAAACCCAGACGGTGTGATGGAGAATTAAATTCCCCATCAATCGATCCCCGTTGCATCCCTTAATCTCTGTAACAAAAAAATACAAACT